GGTGTTACAGAGGGAAAGTTGCCTTATAAGAGACATGATACCTCCCCTATCAGATGTGTTTTAAAACTATAAGTCCATATGTGAACAAAGCGCTTGGGATGTTACAAATGGTATCAGAGCTGGGAACCGAACAAGTATATATAGTGAGGACGTTGAGCTCTGAACGAGGGTGGATTGTAAGATCCCACATTGGTTGGGGAAGGGAACTGTCACACCCCGCTAAGCGGAAACATGAGGTATGACAGGTAGAGTCTCATAGCAATAGAGTATAAATAACACCACCATACATTAAAATTTCATTACATCCCTAACCAGAGTTTACATTCCCAAAACGACAAGTTTGTATATTATAAAAAAAAAAATCGAAGGTGATGATTGAAACGCGGCTTCTTTTAAATGTCACCATGTGCCTTTCTTACCCCTGAAAAGCACGTTAAAACAAGTGTCAACTACAAGAGTTGGTGAGTTCACAGGTTTTCAATGTACAACAAATCTTTATGCAATATTTGGTTCGAGTAAGTCTTTTACTTACTCGCAACAACTTTCATACGTGTAGCACTTTTAACGAGGCACAATGTACTCCAAGTAATTTTAAGTGTTGGGCCACTACTAAACCTGCAACAACTACGCCCTTTACACTGAACTACCTCAATGGTGGTGTTTAAACCACATGTGTAGAACTCGTGTTTTAGTTAAATACACCCCTACTCGTCAGTAAAAGATGGGATTGTCAATCCACTTAAACTATCGGCTCATACGAGTTAATAAGTAGTGTAACCAAGTGGGACTTTTTAATTAACCCAAACACAATTTTTACTAGTGTACATAGTGTTAGTACTCGTATTCACAATTTCATTTTGTTGCATATTTCATATAATCAATTTGTATCCACGATTTAATCACATTTTATATTTCATACAAACATCAACTACTTTTATACATGTTTTTCCCCCAAATAACGATGGATTTAAAAAGGGGCCGTGAATACTCACCTTTTCTTTCACGGAGAAGATGGTTGAGTGATCAATTGGTACGTCTTGGTAAAGTCCTTTTAGTGAATCCCTATAGAAAACGTACGGTTGTCAAACTCTTAAATGTTAAGATTACTATTCTACCTTTACGTATTATAAAATGCCTCTTTATGTTCTTAAGATAAAAATCAATTTTTAAGCACTTTATCTTATTATGGGGTTTATGGTTTAAGAGTCCAATCTTTAGTGGTTTTAGGAAATCATGCATGCTGACAGAATCTTTGTGWCTCAATAATGTCCATGGTTCACCCTCATCCAAGAAGTATATTTTCCAAACAATTTATATGTTTTAGTATACTGAGTTAGGATCATTATGACCAAAAATCAAGATTTTTGGATGAGTGGAAGGGTCTCAAACAAATTTTACCAAAACAGTGATTACAGCTTTCAAAACAAAAAACCCCTTCTTAATGTTACACCCTTTTGAATGAGTTATACTTATTATTTTCCAGTGTCTCATGAATCGTTTTAAAACACATAAGGATAGCTTTTTCAAAAAGAATCACTATATTTGGGTGTATAGTTTGGGAGTTATGGTTGTTTAAACATGCATGTGGAAATCTGTCAAGTCTGGACAAATTGCACACTTATTTTGTAAAAATCGGTGAACCCCTAAATCACCATGTTTTTGGATGGGGTTAGACTCTTTTGAAATATAACACTTTAGGCTATACTCCAGAGGTAAAATTTAATGAGTTTTGATGTGTCTTCTAAGAGTTATAGATGAACAATGAAACACAAAATTTCTGACCGACCACTGTTGCACACCAAATTTGTTTTGGGTGTTATGAGGTCATAAGGTCATATTTTATCATGATTCCACCTGGGTTTGAAAACTAATACACTAAATATTATTGAAGAAAAAGATTCATACTTATTGAGTCCATACACAACCAGATATGGTCGTTCCAAACTCATGCAATGAATATGTCCAGGAGAAAAGTCATTCTTGTATACAAAAATGGACTTTTATGCATCAAAATTTCCAAATAAGATGATTTTATGAAAGAAGATGACTCTACTATTTAATACTAAAGTAAGATTATAAAATACAATATTCTTGGTAACAAAAATGAAAGAGAACTCAGATTCCATAAGAGACACAAAAATGCATGAAATGAAGGTTTTTCTTGTTTTTCAAAAGTTCTAGATGGTTAGGTCATGAATTTTCACCATAATAAGAACATTTTTCATGTCGTTGGTGTAAAATCTACCCTTAGAACTTAGAATGAAGAACAAATTTCCTTTGTAAACTTAAAAGTATGAAAATGACAAGAAAATGGCACTAAAAGTGCATAAAATAAAGCCAAAATACTAACAAATGTTCTTACCTTTGATTAAAAGAAAGATGATTTCTTCAAGTTTGCTTCTTGAATCTTTTCTTTTCTATGATTAAATGGCTGAATTTTATTTCTTGAAGAAAAAGATGGAGGGAGAGAGTAGTAGATGAAAATTGAGGGAGAGTAAGGAGATGAAAAGTTGCCAAGAGAATAAGAAATGAGTATTTTAAAATTTCAAAATGTATTTATATGTAGAGAAGAAGGGGGGCGGCCATTAGATGGGCCTATGGGACTCTCTATCTTTTATTTGTAAAAATTTAGCCCATAATTTAATAAGTTGGGTATTTTTGTGAGAAATTGAGAAAAAGGCTCAAATTCCTATTTTATGAGATAAATAAATTCCTTAAATATAATTTTAAGTAAAAAAAATATTTAAAATACGTAGACTCTATATTTTATGCAAGTTTTAAAAAATTATTTGGAGTGTTTAGCATTTTATAAGACGATCCGGTTCATTACGGGTCAAAATAGTGTTTTCTACGCAACATACCGGGATTTCTAACTACTTAAGCTCTAATCGCTCTACTTGAGTGTTAATAATATTTCTAAAGTGCTATCTAGCTACTAACCTGGTATTTAAATTTCTGGATGTCACAGGAACAAAGGGATTGTAAGGGACTTGATACCTTCTCTATCAGAAGCGTTATAAAACCGTGAGTCCAAATGTGTAGACAAAGCATATAGTAACTGATGCGGTTGGTTTGGGATGTTACAATATGAGTGATATGTGTTGAGAATTCAATAATAAAGCACCTGTTTTACTTATTATTAGTTAGATTATTTTTCTTTGATCCCTACTTTGAGTCAATTTTATTAATTTTTTTATACCTTTGTTATTATGGAGCTAAATCTTGTGGTTAACTTGTTGGTACTCAAAGGAGGGTGTTAATGGAGATTTTTTCTTAACAGCTTGATGCTACAGCATTGGAGCAGCGGTGATCTGATACATGCACGGCTTTTTGGAGAACTTATTGATTAAGTTGTTGCCTTTTTTAGCTTTGTGGAAGACAGCTGGAGACTGCTGGCTTTTGATTAAAATCTGGGATTAAAATTCTTGTTAGGAATATGTACTTTCTAGTTCCTCTAATTGTACTTTAAAGTTAGTTTTAGGAACCTTAGCTCCTAAGATTTGTCTTTTTGTCTTTTTGTGGCTCCCTTGTGTATAAAAGGAGGGCTTGGGTTTCACTTTTGCATACAATCTAACATCATCTGGCTTTAAAAATCAGCCCTCTCCAAGGGTGATTTGTAGTAACTTTTGAAGAAATACAAAGTTCTTAATTTTTGGCTCTTCATCTTTAATTTCTCGTCTTTTAATTTCCGCTCTTTATTTTACATTCCTTTACGTTTATTATCATTTACATTCCGTTATTTAATTTCTGCAATTTACTTTTTCGTCATTTATTTTCCGCCATTTACATTTATGTCTTTACTTTCCATTATTTATTTTACTTGTCATTTACTTTTCGTTATGAGTAGCTAAGTTTATATAGCTTGGGTGTGAGACGGAAATGTGAGATTTTCAAACCAAAAGAAAGTAGCTAAGTGTTTTCTTAAACGACGTTCCATTGTTTTAATCGAGTTTTTATAAAAACCAAGCACACTTCTTGACGGGTTGATCACTTTGAAAGTGTTAAAATGTCATGGACTTAGAGATAAGCCATTGAATGCACGTCAACTTGAATGATATAAGAGGTAGACTTGAGAAAGTTGCCGACAATGAGACTTGTCATTTATGTCTTTCAAACTTAACTCCCGACGGGTTGGTCACTCTTTAAAAGTGTCAAAGTGCGATAGATTCAGAGATGAACTATCTAAAACACACGCCAACTCGAATGATATGAGAATCGACTAGAGAGAGTGATTTTTAACAAAGAGATTTGTTTGTCCATATATTTTGAAGACACCATCTTGTCACTATCCCTGGTTCGGACACCACATAGAGATATGGGTGGAAAACTATAATATAGTGCAATGGTGAAGTCCGAGAGAAATACCTTCAAAATAGATGGTGGAACTAAGTTTTGAAACACTGTTTGCTGTAGCATTCCTGCAGCATTGGCTACTGGAATTTGTGTTTGGGTCTCACCACAAGTCTTACACCCTTGCTATCTTTTTATATTCTGTAATCTGTTTTAAATCACCTTAACAATCAAACTGAAGTTTTCAAAATCGTCATCTGAAATCATCTCTTTCATTAGACTCTCATTTAACTTTTGCTACAATCTCCGTGGACGATACTCCATTACTTGTACCACTTTATTACTTAGAAAGACGATATTGGGTCGTATTGTATACTTGTTTTGTGGCCCAATTCCTTTGTCTAAAGGTGTGCCATCATCTATTTGAAGATTGTTCATGTAAGTGTATGTGTTCATGTCAACTTATGCTTGCATAGACAAATAATAAGACTTGGAGTTAACAGAAGGGAAAAACTCATATGGATTTGAAGAGACTCAAACTAATCACCAATGGGAAGCTTTTGAGAGTTTACATGAATGAAAAGATCGATTCATCATTCTTTTGAACTTATCCGCAAAGATTAAACTATATAAATCAATTGGACTAGCAAACAACTAACAAACTACTTGATCCATCATTGAATCATATGAGTATCTGATTTAACATATGGTTACAATTTAACCTTCTCGTCCCCTGTCCAACTATCTTTCATTTTGGGGCCTTCAGGTCCTTCTTCTCCAAGTAACTCAGGAGGGAGCTTATGCAACATTCTCATGGCAACGTTTCTCATCTTTGCTGGCAACTTATTTGCTATTTTCGTTACCTCTTTCGTAAATCCATAAGTAATCTTTGGACCCCATCTTCCTGTATAATTCAACCATGGGACCATTAATGAATCAAACTTCTTGTAATCAACATAAACCACATTATAGCTGGATGCAATATCCATCACGTAGTTGCTTTTTGCAGTGTCGTCTCTAACACCAAACCCTAAAAACTTTTCCCCCCCAGTGATCGGTGATTCTAAATCCATCTCGAGTAACTCATTGAACTCTTCTATGTCCATTGGGTCAATGTAAGATCTCCCATGAAGATGATAGTTTGGAGTGGCGTAGTGTGCATGGCCATGCAAAGATGAATACACCACTGGTCTGGTTCCATTAATAAACTCGAATTCTGGAGCCGTTAACCATTTTCCGGCTGCATGTTGAGACAAATAGATTTCCTTTAGAATTCCATGATAGTTATCGATTCTTAACGTTATGTGTTCCCAATCGCTAACATGTTCCCCGATCTTCCCTAAGTTGATGGCTAAAGGTCCCAATTGAAGCTTCCCTCCGCCATTAAAAGGGTAATACAACCATATGGCTAGATCAGTAAAGGTTCCACCGAGTTCCGGTTTCACATGAATGTAAGCGATTGCATCGTTCAAAAACCCTTTTTTTACCTTATCTTTTTGCGGTTGATTAGGTGGGAGGTCTAGAAAGGCGTCATCTTGCGTACCGTTGGTTGGAAGGTTTTCTCCATTGTTGATCACAGGCTGTGGAATTATATTTTTTTCGTGTAGCTCAGCGCCATTTTCGAAGAACCATAAAACCGTTGAAGGGAAGAATTCTTCATCAGGATGTAAATAGACCCAAGGTGAATAAAGATTTATCATCCTGCTAATTTGTAACGAATTAGGCATAGCCAAATATGGATCTTTCTGGACCATTTTTAAACACGCTAAATTGTGAGTTTCTGAGCCCTTGGCTCGTGCTAAAAACGTACCAATTGGAACACTTAGCCCTCTTGTAACCGGCTTTGTGGTGGACACATCAATGGACCTCCTCCCCATCTTCACTCCCCAAATCCACTTATCCACCTCAACCAAATCCGTGAAGTCCAATCGAACGCACATGATCTTGTCAAGTGACGGTTTCTCTGGTGTTGTTGTGACGATGTGACCAACGGCTTTATAACCATTTGGCGGGATCGGGAGCCATATGTAGCCATCGTCATATTGGCCGAAATTCACACCTTTACTGGTCCACATAAGGGTGTAGTCGATCGGTCTCTTTAGGGCACCATGGTTGGGGTCACCTGTGGTGTCTTTAGCCACAAGAACTGCTGCAGGAAAGGGCACATCGTTGGGTCTACAATAGTGGCCAAGCAGTTTGAAATCTGGTGGGAAGGCATATGGTTCGTAAAATGTTGCACCATCCTTTGGGTTACCACCTAGTGTATCCCATATTTTCAGGAAATATAAAGTTCCGTACACTTCTAATCCTCCAAGATCAATGCTTCCTTTTCCGAAGGATCCACCTGCAAACAGTTAACAATTAATGTATAAATCAATACATATGTGAACAAGGTTCTAAACAGCGTGAGGATGAGGCTTGGTGTGACGGTGAGGTCAGACCTCAGGTTTTGAAAGCCAGAGCGAGGTCACGGCGTTTTTTAAGGCGTGACTTATGACGACAAATCTCTATACCATATATAAAATTACATACATAAACATATGTTTTCTACTATTACTCAATCAATCCATGATATATACTAAGCAGTTTAAATTAAGTTATATATTAAAAACTAACAAATAAAATATTAAAAAAAAGGAAAATCAGATATCATGTTACAAAAACTTGTATTACGTCGTGGAGTGCCTAAGGCATAATGTTGCGTGACACACAAGCCTTGAGTTACGACGCGCCATGACCGCTGTTACGACGAGCTTTTTCGAACATTGTATGTGAATAATTGAATAACTCTAAAAAAATTCATTCGATGCATATGTGAACTTAATTTGACTTACCTATTTCTTTACTAATTATTTATAAATGAACATGCAGGGACCCATTCAAGGGAGATTGACTAGTTTGTGGTAACCGTAAGATCCAATCTCAACCACAAATCAATAGATAAATTAGGAAGTATATAATTTTGATAATTTTTAATTAAAATTTTAATGCAAGGACATTTTAGGTATTTTCTCTTATCTCTCCTCTCTTCTCTCTTCTCTCTCCGTCCCCGTCTTCCGGCCTCGGGCCACCGTCCTCCGGTGATATCACAATATGATACTCAAGCACATATAAGATGCATTGTGATACCACTGTGTTACATATCCGATCGACCACACAAACGACCTCAGTGTGATACCCAATCACATATAAGATGCATTGTGATACCACTGTGTTACATATCCGATCGACCACACAAACGACCTCAGTGTGGTACTCAATCACCTGTAAGATGCATTGTGATACCACTGTGGTATCACCGGAGGACGGTGGCCGGAGGCCAGAGGATGGAGGCCGGGAGACGGAGAGAGAAGAGAGGAGATAGGAGAAAGGAGAGAAAATACCTAAAATGTCCTTGCATTAAAATTTTAATTAAAAATTACCAAAATTAAAAATTTCCTAATTTATCTATTGATTTGTGGTTGAGATTGGATCTCACGGTTACCACAAACTAATTAGTTCTCATTTGATTATGTCCCTTATATATATATATATATGAACCTACGTTTTATTTTTACCAAAGATTCACATATAAATCATTTGTTCTTACGACATTTTTACCATTTTTGTCTTTTTTACTTAAACTTTTTGATATATATATATATATATATATAKAGAGAGAGAGAGAGAGAGAGAGAGAGTGTGTGTTTCATTTCAGAAGTGGTAAATATTTAAGAAGTAAAGAAATGATCCCAACATTTCATCTGGTCAACATTCGCGGCTTTGACCGTGAAGCACCGGATAATTTCTCACAAAAGTATGCAGTAGACAAAAAGATAGTTTTATAACTTTTACAAATAGACGGATAACATGTTCAAATGTGAACTAATATGATACACATATGAACCGTATGTCAAACAGATGTGACTGATATTCTGTATAAGTTAAAAATAAATACTACACTTGAAATATTTTATTTTGCAATAATGGTTGTGTAATAGGTTGAAGATGAATAAAACAATGCAAATGATTGAAGATGGTCTTACCTAAATGCTTTTATAAGACAACATAGATGTATAAAGTCATTAATAAATACCTGCAGGATACACAGGAGGTGGACCTTGAATATCGAATGATAAGACTGGAGGGTCATTAAAACCTATATTCGGACTAATTTTTCTTGGGAATTCATCTGAAGCACAAGATGTATCGAAAAGGATATGAAATATTATGATAATCGTTCTAACAAATTGAACTGAGAACCGAATAGCTGATATTTTTGTATTCATCCTCATATACCACCACATTGCTTAGAACTATAAAAAGCAATTGAAGTGATAATTCATCTAATAAAATCAAGAATGATACAAACTCATTGTCCTTGTAGCAAACATATATGTAAAAGTTTTCATTAATTACTGCTTTTTTATATAGAAAAACTATAACATCTTTTCCTTTTATAGAGTAAATTAAGAGCAAAATACGTGAAATAGCAAATTATTTTTATAAATTCTCTTATTATAGTATTGTATTTTCAGTTTTTCTTATTAGAGCAATATATTTTTAAAATATTTTTTATTAAGGCATCATACTTTCAAAGATTTACCCGTTATAGCATTGGGTAACTTTTTAAATTAAATTTACCCATTATATCAGGTTCATTTGTCATCTCATCGTCCATGTAGACTATCCACATGTACAATAGTGTTGACTTGATATTTCTTTTTGTAGCATTGTAATTTCAAAAGTACTTTATTATACATCACAAATTTCTATTATAGCAGTGTACTTTTAATTTTAATATTTTTATCATTTAAAAATTGTAAATTTAATCAAATATGTTTACTAAAAATTATAATATCATAAATTAAACATGGTTTTTTATGAATATTTTTAATCAAATTTCTATTACAGCATTGAAATTTGCGATGAACGAATGGTTTTTTATGAATATTTTTATTCGTGAAATAGTGATCTTTTGTAAACATGTTTAATTTATGATATTATAATTTTTAGTAAACATATTTGATTAAATTTACAATGTTTAAATGATAAAAATATTAAAATTAAAAGTACAATGATGTAATAGAAATTGATGATGTTAAAATAAAATAATTTTGAAAGTACAATGATATAATAAAAAATGTCATATCAGCACTATCGTATATATGGACAGCCTACATGGACGATGATATAACAAAGAAACATGGTATAATGGGTAAATTTAATTTAAAATGTTACTCAATACTATAACGGGTAAATTTTTGAAAGTACGATGCTCTAATAAAAAATATTTTAAAAGTGTATTATTGTAATAAAAAAAACTGAAAATACAATATTATAATAAGAAAAATTATAAAAATAAGTTACTATTTCACGTATTTTTCCCATAAATTAATGTGTCAGTTTTCAACATTGAGATACTTATGTCAATTTATTAAATATATTAACATAAAAAAACATTTGAAATTAAGAAAAATAAATCAAGTCAAAAGTTGAAACTATAAGAAACGATATTTGGTCCATTTAACGATTCTTTTTTAATCTTATCCAAATCGAAACAAATTTAACAACTATTTATTTTAAAAAATTATAACATTAATTATATATGCTATTAAAATATTTAATAAATAATATCTTTTTCTTCTTATATGTTGTAAATTTGTTGTTAAGTTAAAAGAAATCCTTCTTAAATATTTAACTTCAAAGAATTTCTTAGGATTTCAAGATTTTATAATCTCATTTTTAATTTTTTTTATCTTGGAAATTTAAAAAAAATGTTGAAACAATAAAAAAATTTAAAATCTTTATTTTATCTATTTTAAAAAAAATATGTTAATGAGATGTTATTGTAATTTGACGAATTTTCAGAGTCAAACGTTGACTAAATAAAGCAAGTTTTTTACAAGTTTTGACTTTTTCTTTTTGACAACTTTTTTAACGGTGATTGTCCATGTTGGCTTTCAGGTATCTTGACTAACACTGTATATAACGAAAACAGCACAATGTCCATCCTTTATTTAAGTTAGCTGATTGCTGATAAACTATAAAAGGCAATTGAAGTGATAATTCACTAATCATGAATGAGACACTCATTGTCCTTGTAGTTTCATTAATTACTGTTTTTTTATATAGAAAAACTATAACATTTTTTCCTTTTATAGAATAAATTAATGACTTTACTTTTCAACATTGAGATACTTATGTCAATTATTAAATATATTAACATAAAAACATTTGAAATTAGGAAAAATAAATCGAGTCAAAAGTAGAAATTATAAGAAACGATATTTGGTTCATTTAACAGTTCTTTTCATAATTTTATTTAAATGAAGAAACAAAAACCATGATCACCAAAACAAATTTAACAGCTTTTTTACTTCAGAAATTATAACATCAATTATGTGTGCTTAATATTTAATGAATAATATTTTTCTCCTTATCTGCGATGAACTTTCAACAGTTTATTGCTAAGAAATCTCTTTCAAATATTTAACTTTAACGAATGTCTCTGGATTTCAAGATTTTATGATATCATTTTTAATTTTTTTATCGTGGAAATTTAAAAAAAGAATATGTTAAAACAATAAAATAACTAGTTGCCCTTCAGAAAAATCTTTATTTTATCTATTTAGAAAAAAATCTGTTAATGATGTGTTATTGTGTGTTTGAATTTGTAGAGTCAAACGCTAACTAAATAAAATAAGTTTTTTTTACAAGTTTTGACTTTTTTTTAGCTGTGATTGTCCATGTTGGCTTTTAAGTATCTTGACTAATACCATGGATATAAAGAAAACAGCATAATGCCCATCCTTTATTTAGGCTATGTTATGTTGGGCAAACTAATGGTAAGTTAGCTAATTGTTGATTGCTGCAAATTAATGGTAAGTTAGCTGATTGTTGATTGTTGATAAGCTAGCTAATGGCTGATAAGGTAGATAGTTGATGAACAATCATGTATGACAAAAACTAGCTAATAAACATGTAAAATGATTAAAAAAAAAAGACATTTTGAAATTTTAGTGAATTATATTGTTTTATAATATAACTAAATGAAAGATTCAATAATACAATATATTAATACAAACAA